AAAATATTTATTAATAAAATAACAAATTTTAATATAAAGCAATAATGTCAATTTTACTATGTTTTACTATTTTTTTTAATTTCCAGTAATATAGTGTAGGGGTGTGTATATTACGAAACATTAATTTATTGCTCATATTTTTGGAAAAATGTATATAGCACATCTAGACACTTAGTAATGATTAAATTGTTAAAATTTGATTTCGATTTTGTCGATTATTGTTTCTATTCGATTTCTAGAAATGTTAAAATATGAAAATTACATATATATTCGTCAAAACCTAAGTTTCAAAATAATATAAAATTTATATTTGTTTATTATATACATTCAATTTAAAAATTATCAAATAGTATAATAATATGTATTCTTTATATTATTATTCGTAATTTTACATTAAAATTGAAAAAACTAGTTTAAAAAACATAAATTTACTGTTGACCCTGGATTAGGATTTGGCAACCGATATAAATTATCCGGCCGGGTGATCAATTCAGGTTGTCATCTCTGGCTGGTGATGCTTAACCAGTATCTCTGGCTTTGTTGATTGGTCACAAATTAAAAGAAAGACAATTTTCATGTGAATGCAAAATTTCACAAGAAAATTTTTTGTCATGGTGAATGACATCTGCTTGTATTTTATAAATTCGATAAACTTCTTTACTAAGTAAATACAAAATTTTAATCCATGAATATGCTCAGAAAGGGCCCATTCTATCATATTTACGGATTAAATATTGTATTTACTTCTTAGTAAAGAAGTCTATTGAATTTATAAAATACAATTTATTGATGAATTTAGATATTATGCATCATGGAACACCAAAATCTGTTTTTTAAAAAACTTTTTGTATTTGGTTGAATTTTTGCGTTACACTTGATCTTGCAATTTGATTTGTTGACAATACCAGAGGCCAGAGATGCATAGACACCCTTAAATAAAGAACATATCATTTTTGAGCCGTTCCACTTTAAAGCTCTGTTCGGGTCGGGTTTGAGGTCAACCCGAACCGATAAATTTGGTTCGAGCCGAAAATCGTAAAATAGTTTTTCGTTAATAACTTTTATTTTTACCAAGACACTTTATTTTGTGTATTAAGTAGAGTTATCCGGAACATAATTGTGTATATATCCACAAATTTTGGTTTAATTTGAATTAATATTGAACGAGAAATAACGATTTTTAGGCTGACCCGAAATATTTCGGGTCGGATCACGGATTGGACCCGACCTGATTGGAGCACTATTTCACTTATTATTTGAACAAGAATGTTTAACATTACAATGTAGGAAGCGGTGTTACAATAAAATAGTATATTTAGGAAAAAGTGTTACGTGTTTACAAGAAATTCCATTTACGTAATAAGAGAGCAATGAAAACTATAAATAAAATCACCACAATTGATCCGACTATGCCTACGAAGACAATTATGTAAATATTGTTATCAGATGATGGTTCAGTGCTTGATGTTGATATTGTAGGACTTGAGAGATTTCAGCATTAGATGGTTGGCTTGGAGTTGCTGATGGACTGACAAAGTTAACCCATGTATGTTCTTTTAAATCTAAGACTTTAATAACTTTTCGATTAGGATTTGCGGTCTTAAAATATCCTGAAATTTAAGTCAAAATTAATATTTAATATTTATCTTTAATTGTATGAATTTATAAAATAATTACCTAGACATATAATCATATAATCATATAATTGTTATATATGACAGCTGTAGAAGAATACGACACATCTTCTATGTTAGGCTCGTGTTTAGTTACAAGTTTTGAAAGTTCAAATGTTTGCAAGTCTAGAGTAATCAAATAATCAGGCGGAATGCCTGAAGCATTTGATATTATGCCGCCATATAAAATAATGCTTTGATTACTGGGTGCTATTAATAGATATGATTTATAAGAGATATTCATATAAGTTTTTACACATTTATTATTAAAATACTTCTTTTACCTAGAGCAGCTGCGTGAGCATAACGGTTACTTATATATGTGGTATTTATCGCATTCTTTTAATTGAACCAAGATTATTGATGAATTATTATTCAATATTTGCAATATAATCTATCGACGAAGCTCACTTTTTTAGTCCATGGATTATTATTTGTATTGAGAGTATCATATATCCAAATCTTTAAAGAATGATTTTCGATATCGCATTTTGGTTTTTAAAATAATTGAATAAAATGCATGCATGAATTACCTCGCGAATATCGACACATTTTTGATCTTGGATGTTTGAAAAAGTGCTTCCAATAAAATAAATTTTGCCATCCTTAAATGTTACTGAATAAGCCATTCTTTGTTCTGGAACATAAGAAGGAAGAATTCGGCTCCATGTTGAGTCAAATGTATCAAATATGTACATAGCTTGATCTGTTACCCCACGAGAATTTCCACCCCAGATATAAAGTTTTCCTTTGTCATCAAAAATCGAATCAATATTGACGCGTGCGCCAGGTGTAATACCTCCTCCGGATATAACAGAGAAATTGAAATCGGATACGATGTTACATCAATTTTATAAAAGTCGTCTATATTAATATTAGTCCCATGGTTCCGATCATTAGATTTAAAAAATTGATTAAAAAATCATAGTATTCGTGGTGCAATTATACTTATGAAAATTTTAAAATTAAGGAATTACGAAATTTTTGTTGAAAGTGGTATATAACAATATCTTGAATATCCATCGCTGTTTTCGATTCCACATTTTCGGGAATCCACGGCGTCGTTTTTGGAATTCCAAAATGACACGTCAATTTTTTGAATTCGAAAAGAAGATAGTGTTGCGGTTATTTTAAATTGGGGCGATTTGAGGGATTTCTAACGCAACCTGTCTTTGGGAGAGATTACTAGACTGATTGATGTTTATTCGGTATCTAAAGTCTGTGCCGATATCTACGGATATCGTTGACTTAAGTTGATTTTTGGAGGAAAGGGAGAGACTATGTGTTTCAGGTGAGTGTTCGGGGGTTTTCTTAACTATTGCTTTTTATAGATAAAAGCCTT